GCGTAGCGAACGAGCTAACCTGAAGGAAAGTGAGCGCAGCGAACGAGCTCCAACCTAAAGGTGAGTGAGCGTAGCGAACGAACTTCAAAAAGAACCGAAATTTCTTAAACCATGTCCTCACTCATAACTGCTATAAGCATTTGATACTTATATGCCAACCCCGTACGAAGGACGGGTACTCTGCTAGTACTTTTATAAAATCACCAGGGATTCAAGATGTTTTGATATGTAGGCTGCTGGATATACAGGGTGATCAACTCAAGGAGGCCACCATTAGGATATCGGAAACGGTAAGAATTAGAGAAAACTTTAAATGGGGGACCTTCCTTTATTTTTTTTTTGCAGTTAAAAATATGATTTTATTTTTTCAAAATTCAGCCGCCATTTTCCAAAATGGCGGCCAACTTTGAAATTTCTTACGGAACACCCTATATTTTATCATGTTTTCGGATAGAACATGCAATTTAAAAACTTTTTTATTCTTGAAATTTTTTCGATAAACCCACTCGTTTAGGAGTTACAGCCTATGGAAAAATGACTTCCGGTGTACATTTTACATCATGTAGCTCCTAAAATAGTAGGTTTATAGCGAAAATGTAAGTCAAATAAGTCTTAAAATTGCATCCTCATTCCATAAAGACCATAAAATACACAGTTTTCCACTTTTCAAGTTTGCCGCCATTTTGGAAAATGGCCGCCATTTTTAAAATAATAGAATTACTATTTTTAAAGAATTTTATGGTCTTTTTGGAATGAGGATGCAATTTTAAGACTTATTTGACTTATTACTCTTCGCATTTTCGCTATAAACCTACTTTTTAGGAGCTACATGATGTAAAATGTACACCGGAAGTCATTTTTCCATAGGCTGTAACTCCTAAACGAGTGGGTTTATCGAAAAAATTTCAAGAATAAAAAAGTTTTTAAATTGCATGTTCTATCCGAAAACATGATAAAATATAGGGTGTTCCGTAAGAAATTTCAAAGTTGGCCGCCATTTTGGAAAATGGCGGCTGAATTTCGAAAAAATAAAATCATATTTTTAACTGCAAAAAAAAATAAAGGAAGGTCCCCCATTTAAAGTTTTCTCTAATTCTTACCGTTTCCGATATCCTAATGGTGGCCTCCTTGAGTTGATCACCCTGTATATTATTTTCATTATAAGTACTGTAATTAATATGAACGCCAGGGGAATACCACAAAGGCGGGGAACTGTTCATAGGAATGACAGTGCGCGTAGGAGAGCAAGAGTAGATAATGACGAACTTAATCAAGATATGTTACAACCCCTTTTTAGGAGACCCATGGTAGACGAGAGAAATGTAAAGATCCATGATGCAGGATTATTGGACCAAGAGTGCATTCAATGTAGTGCTCTTCATTTTAGAGAAGAACTAACGAATAATCATTTTATGACATGTTGCCATAACGGACTTATTAACCTTCCTCAGTCAAAAACTATTGTAGAACTTAAAAGTTTGTTTGAAGAGAGCCCACAACTGTATAGCCTAAATTCATTCGACAATGCAACAGTGCGATGGCTTTTGCTTATTTTTCAGCCAGTAAGAAAGATATTCCAGGAAAAGGACCATACTGTTTCAAAATTCAAGGACAGATTTATGGTTCAATCTCAGATTTGCTGCCTCAACATGACGAAGACCCCGTGTATGGCCAATTGTACATTATTGACACATCAACAGCAACAGAAATTCGTCAAAGGCGTCGAGAAAATAGTGACTTAAAACCTGAAATATTGTCAAAACTAGCTGAAATTCTATTAGAAAATCCATTTGCACAAATTTACAAAAGAGCTTCGGAAGAAATTGTTGTACAAGGTGACAGTGAATTAGAACTTAGGTTTGTAGACAGGATAAATATGGATCGTCGTAGGTATAATAAGCCTATTGCAGATGAAATTGCAGGCGTCTTCAATTCATCTGAAGGCGAACCTCCAATGAATTTTTAAAATTCCAAACAGGGAAGCTTTTATTTATCCTCATTAACCACAAGACCAAAGCTACCTTAGTAAACCAGTATTTATTCACAAACAATGATATGTTTGCTGCCTTTTCATGTTAAACCACTGGAGTGATTCAAATTATTTATTGAAAATGACATCAACAAAAGCAAACAAAGAAGAACAACAAACTGGTTTTTACACAAAAGATATGGTGTAGGGATGCCTATTCTGACACATAGATAATGTTATTCTGAGTTTGTTTAAATACCGGTATTGCAAAAAGTTGTTTTACATTTGAGCTTTTTAGGGACTTATGTCCCTACAAGCCACACTAGTATAACAATAAGCTGTTAAATTATTAACACATGTTTTGTATGATTAGATTATGAATATTGGTAAACCAATTATTGCCATCTATAAAAATTATTGGTTTTTCTTTTCAGAGTCGGGTTAGCTCTTCTACCCGACCGATTTCCATAATTTTGGGCTTAAACTAAAGGTATGGACGCATTATAGATTTGCCATCAAGCATCGGCATTCATTTTGACGTATATTTCGAGCTATAGGCCTACACAAACTGCCTCCCTGTACATTTCGTATGGGAGTTAAATTTGTTTTTTTTTTCGAGTTCGTTGGGCTCTTCTACCCGACCGATTTTCATAATTTTGGTCTTCAAAAAAGCTATGCAAGCACATATTTGTCATCAAGCATCATGATTCATTCATCTAATGTATTACTCGATGAAAAATATAAATTAGATTTTTTCGAATTTTTACTTCAATTAAAGATGTATTCCAGCAGTTCTAATTACATTACTCTATAATGTTGTGGTCTAAAAACCTTTAGTGAAATACCAGCTTTCATTTGAGCTGTTGATTATTTAGATCGGACTACCTAAAACACACTGCTGAATCACAAATCAACAATAATTATAATTGTTATAGTACTTAGCTGCAATAAATGATAGGTAACTTTATTTTTATTTAAGTTATTTTAGGCCTATATGTCTCGGTCTTAAAATACTTCTAGAAATAAAGGCTTTCATTTGAGATATTGATAGTTTTAATCATTTAAGTTTAAGATACTGTATCGCTCAATCAGAAAACACAAATTTAATTACTGTATATCTTGGATATGGAATTTAGTTTTAGATATATTTACTCAATTCTAATTACAGTGCGTTATCCTATTTGTTTTGACCTAAGAACCTTCAGTGAAATACCAGCTTCCATTTGAATGATTGATTATTCCACTTGGTTGGAAACCAATTGGGAGGTTTCTTAACATTTTTGCAAATAACATTGAAATGGTGAGGAAATCGACCAAAGTGGATGGTGATATTCTGATAGAGAGTAAAATTTCCTACAAATTACTATTAAGCATTTCTTGAAAATACTCCATAAAGGCAGACTAAAGTTGGCTACAAATATAAACTTGGAAATATAACTTGAAAAAAAGGTAGTTTAAATGTATTATTGTTTATTTTCTCTTTTTTTTCACCTCAAATATGGAATAAAATCAAACTTTCATAATTATTTGCAAATCTACACGAATTAGGCTTTCCAACGACCCATTGAGCAACAAAATCGGTCCGGTAGAAGTTTAGATTTAGTTGTACAAAGTTTAACAAAAATATATCTAATTCAGCATTTTCTCACCACTATAAATTTGGAGGTCACTTAGCTTATTGCCAATAACTTTTAAATGGATGGAAAATCGACCAAAGTGGATGTAATATTCTGAAAGAGAATAAAATTTACTACAAACAACTACTATGCATTTCTTGAAAATACTTAATAAAGGCAGCCAAAATCTGGCTACAAATAGAAACTTGAAAACAAAAACTTGAGAAAAGCAGTTTTTAATGTATTTTTCTTATTTTTACTTTTCCCCCACAAATATTTAATAAAAATCACACTTTCATAATTATTTGCAAATCTACAAAGATTAGGCTTTCCAATGACCCATTAATTAACAAAATCGGTCCAGTAGAAGTCTAGATTTAGTTGTACAAAATTTAAAAAAAATATCCCTAACTCAGTATTTTCTCATTACTATAATTTCGGAGGTTGCTTAGCTTTTTTGCAAATAACTTTTAAATGGTGAGGAAATCGACCAAAGTGGAAGGTGATATTCTGAAAGAGAATAAAATTTCCTATAAAATGATACCATACACGTCTTGGAAATACTCAAAAAAGGCAGCCAAAAGTCGCACACAAATAAAAAGTGCGAAAAACGCCCTTTTTAATGTATTTCTTATGGAAAACATGTTTTTTTAACATAAATCATGACAAAAACAAACTTTCATAATTATTTGCAAATCTACACGCATTAAGCTATCCAACGACCCATTAATTAATAAAATCGGTCCAGTAGTACTCTAGATTTAGTTGTACAAAAATTTTTAAAACTGAATTATATATAGAATAGATATATATATATATATATATGAATTTGAATGGATGGTGTTTTTGGCCTCTAGGGACCTCAAAACGAAAAAGTAAATCGGTCCCAGTCCAGGTCTTACCATGAGTACTACGGTAATAGCTTATTCCCTATATGGGAAATTCGCTAAAAACAAATAATTTTAAAAACCACCATATTTAGGAAAATAATGAAAAAGTTACACTCCTAAATGACATGCCCATAATAGACTTCTGAGCAGATAACATCTTCAGAGACGATAAATGATTAATCATTTCATAGCTATGATATTCTTTGTCAAAATAATTAGGTACGGCTGTTTGAAAGCACTCCTAACCTTTGCTTCTGTTGTCTGAATAACAAAATGAATATGTAAATAATTTTGACAGTCAAAAACACATATGACTATCAAAGTTAAATAAATCTTCAAAAATAAGTTAATAAATAATGAGAAAGATAAAATTCAGAACGGTTGAAATATTATTTAGAACTATAGATTGACAATACTCTAAACTAAAGTTGTCTATAATGGACTTCCGTTATACTTTATAAATGCAAAAGTAACAAGCTGGATGGTTACATATTTTCAAAATCGGGAAATATTGGGATCACTTACCCCATCCATTCAGAAATGATGATGTCTACTTTCTCAATTCCGTCAGGAAGAGTGACTTCTTCAACCTTGCCTTTAATGATGGTAATAGTTTCCGACAGGTTGTTATCCTCAACTATTTGTTTGGCATACTCTACGATGTTAGAGCACTCAATTCCTATAACCTTAGCAGCACCTGCTTTGGCTGCAAACATGGATAAAATCCCTGTGCCGCAACCTATATCCAAGACAATCTTACCCTGAAAGTAAAAACCTTATCACACACTTAATCAAGTATATTGAAATGAATTGCAAGGACTTTACAAAACAAAAATACAACTTTTTAAGATTGCAGAAAATTTAAGTTCATTTATACAAGATAATTGAGTGAATTTTTTGTGGCAAAAGATTTTATAAAATAATGAAAACAATTAAATTGATAATGAAAAAAGGAATTGAAAAATCTTTCTACATAAAATTTCAGAAAGTTAAGTATGCAAAGGAAACTAAGGATATTAGTAAAGTTTTTAGAGAACAGAAAAGGAAGATTAGATTAATATTAGGGGCAGAATTTGAATGGAGCTGCCGTCCTTCATTTAAGGAATCAAAAATTATGCTAGGCCTATTTGCTTCTAAAGGGTGTCCCATTAAGAACGCTGGATTTGAAATGTTAATAAACCATATATTTTCACGCTAAATTTACAATATGAAACATGAATCCTTAAGCATAGTATCTCCGATTAGTAATGGAATATTATGTCTCGTAAGTGCACACCTGCTGCCAGCTGACAAGCCCGACATCTCTTGACAAAGTTTTCCATTACTTTTTCACACAAATCCTGTTGAATTCCATTAATGGAATGAATAATTTCCTCCTTCAGGTCTTGGATTGTTTGAGGATTATTGGTGAAAACAAGCGACTTTAAATATCCCTAAAGAAAGTATTCACACTTTGTTAAATCGCACAATCTTGCTTAGATGAATGTGTCCTTTATCGCTGAACAGCAAAGTTGTTTGAAACATGTCATTTTCATCTTGATTTCCAACCACCCAGTTTACAAATTCAAGTCGTTTGATGGGATCTCTTGTGTGAGTTGAATTTTGTAAGGGAACATGTGAAGGTTTTTTACCAAAATTCTTTGTACTGTGCTCCGAGCTAGGCCTAACTGCTGACTACGCCGACGAATCAATGTTCTTGCATTGTCCTCTACACTATCAAGTACAGCCTCAATATTTTCAGCGACAAGGGAGTGGCCTGCCCGACTGCACACTGGTCTTTTAATGTCCAAAACTGAGCCAAATTCTTCGAACTTAGAAATCAATCTTCGGACAGATGACTCATTTGGTGCATTATCCCGGCCGAAAATAGTGCGCAGCTTCCGAACCGTTTCAGCGAAACATTCCCGGTGCTTGTAGTGCACTTTAACTATGACCATGCGTTGATTCGTGTAGCGATTCATGACTACAAATGGGACCTAATACTGATAACATCGCTGATAATTTGGGAATTCCTATTGAAATACAGATAAGGATAAAACGCTCCTGAAATCCGGCGTTCTTACTGGGACACCCTTTATGTAGGCCTACATCTATGAAACAGTAATTTTTGTTTATTTAAATAATATACGTTAATAATACCCTTTTAGCGAATTTCCCTATAGGGAAGTAGCTATTACCGTAGGTGGCACGGTAGGACCTAGACCCGGGACCGATTTACTTTTTCATTTTGATGTCCCCAGAGGCCAAAAACACCAGTCGTTCAAATTTTTATATATGTATATATATATATATATATATATATATATATATAGACTTATATTAAATACTTAAGTAAATAAGTACAACTGAGCACCCTGAATATTATATTTTATAAAAAGAAGTGACATGTTTCGGACATTAGTCCATTTTCAAACTTCAAAATACATTAAACACTTAGCCGTTGTTTATATAGTTGTTTGTAAATAAATATGATTTATATATACAGATGGTTTATAGAACTAGACAGGATTTGGAAAAACTTTTTTGTTACTGATTATTTAATTTTAAAATTTGGTCAAAGATTGGGTTTCTTGAAGGAATTTGGCTATTTAAAATATGATTTGGATTTTTTAGATTTTCTTCGTATATGAAATATTCTTCAGTTGAATCCATTTGATTTCCTTTGTTTAAAACTTTTAGAATTTTCATGTTGTTTTTTAAATTTGTGTAATTGTGGTTGGTCGATAAAAGGTGTTCAGCAAAGTTTGATTTCATGGATGTTCTGTTGTTACTCGTAAGAGCTTGAATGTGCTCTTTGAATCTAGATTTAAAAGAGCGTCCTGTCTGACCAATGTAGAAGTGTTCACAATCAGTGCAGTCAATTTTGTAAATGCCAGATTTGTCATAGATGTCTTGATGTTCTTTATTTGTATTAATGTTATTTGCTATCATATTGAAAGCATTATTTTTTGTTTTAAAGCCAATTTTGTATTCAGAATAATTTTGAAAAGTTTTTCTTGTAGTCCTGTTAAGAGTTGTATTGAATGGGATACTAATGAATTTCTCTTTCTTCTTTCTTTCTTTGTTGTGTTCTTGATTTTGATTTTTCTTTCTTTTGATGTTTTTAATCATATTGTAGATAATGTTTTGCTTATATCCATTTCTTGATGCTAAGTATTTAATTTTGTTTAATTCTATCTCGTAATTTTTCTTTGTCATTGGAATGTTCAAAAGACGATTTAGCATGGATCTGAGAGCAGATAGTTTGTATTTCCAAGGATGGAATATATGTCTAATTCTATGTTCTAAATGTATGTCTAGTTCTATAAACCATCTGTATATATAAATTATATTCAACCTTCAACAAACAAACTTCAACCTGGAGGCGAGTTAGCGTAGCGAACGAGCTAACCTGAAGGCAAGTGAGCGCAGCGAACGAGCTCCAACCTAAAGGTGAGTGAGCATAGCGAACGAGCTCCAACCCAAAGGTGAGTGAGCGTAGCGAACGAACTTCAACCTGGAGGCGAGTTAGCGTAGCGAACGAGCTAACCTGGAGGCAAGTGAGCGCAGCGAACGAGCTCCAACCTAAAGGTGAGTGAGCGTAGCGAACGAGCTCCAACCCAAAGGTGAGTGAGCGTAGCGAACGAACTTCAACCAGGACGTGATTGAGCGATGCGAACGAGATCATCTTGAAAATTAAACGTAACGGTACTTTCTTTCCATCGGTCTGTCTTAGGGGAAACCTATAACTTAGGCGATACGAAGTTCGCCGGGTCAGCAAGTATATATATATATATATACTTCCTTGAACGCGATAACTTGAGTAATTTTTGTCCGATTTTGATGAAATTTGGTTTAAAGGTGTAAAGCGGGATAAACTTGAATGAGTTCGCGAACCAGCACGATCGGACCATGGGAACGGGGCTTTACGGGGGGTTTTATGGGGTAAAAATTGGTTTTGCTCACTTTTGACCCTCAAAACACAAAATTTCCTGATTTCTCTTTAGACCTTTTTAAAGAGCTTAAAAAAACAAATAATTTAGTATATAAAAATATTTTTGTTCGATTATTAGTAACGGAGAAAATTAAAAAAATTGTAAATTTAAAATTCCCATGTTATTCTTATGGAGAATATTGTCAAATGTTGTAGTTTGCTTGTTTATGGATATATTTTTATCAAACTTGGCAAATTTATTTATTTTGTACTAAGCTATCAATATTTAACTCAAAAACACACTTTATTAGTTTCCTTGTAGCAGCAAACCTAGGTACTCGTTAAACCTAATGTTATTAAAATATATTTAACTGAAAATCAATTCAGACAAATGGAAATTCGCTTAGTCGGCAGGTTTGCTGCGGCGGGGGTATTTGATTAATTCAGACACACTTATAGTAATACCCAAAATCTAAATATTCTAAACTAGCCTATCCAATCCTTGTGAAAAACCCCCTATTTATATGGGGATTCGCCTTCATAATAAGATGCCGGGCTTTCAAAAATAAAATCCTACATACCACAAAAACTTTTTAAAAAATGAACCATAGAACTATTGGTAGAAAAAAAAACGTATATTACTCCCTGACAGATTTCTTGAAAGACTGTTAATTGACAATCAAGTTAATTAAGTAAATGGCTTTTTATAATTGTTTTCATTGTTTTTAAAACATTTTTATTTTTTATTACAGGGTTGCCACCATAGTGGGATGATAAAATTCATGCAGAATTCATGGTTTTCATTGGTAGTTTAAAAAAATTCATGGTCGATAAGTTTTGCTGATTTCATAAACTGACGTTAAAGAGGCAGTTTCTTTGTGTGTTACTTTAGAATAACCTTTCATACTTGCTTAATATACAACTTTTTTAGAGTGATTTATTAACATTCAAAACAAAGTTGAAAACAAAACTGGTCAAGCTGAGATATTGGAGAAGAATTGTAAAATATATTAGTCTAGGTCTAATTCAGTCTTTTCACCGGAATAAAACAAAAATCCCACTCACTCAGCCAAAAAAAGTCCTGTTTTATCCCCCTACATAATTGTCATAAAAATGTGCATTCTGATTCAGGCCTATCTTATTCCACAACGTACTAAGATATGATGGTTTTATCCAAAAAGCTAAAAAAAAAACAGGTATCAGAGTCTGTAATTCGGTTTTATTGTGCACCCCCGTTTCAATTCCGTGCATGGTCTAAAACTTCTGTTTTTGTGATTTAAGTCCCTGTATCCCTTTTTCATACACGGGGTTAGGCCTACTAATGATTTTTCGAACCATATTCAGTCCTCGAGAAGTCTCAGCTGACATCAGCATCTTTGGATGACTTGGAATGAACCAAGCAATTGTTTCCTGATCGTGGAACATGTTAAATAATCATCTCGTAACATTATTTTAATAGTGTTCGTTTCTATGAACTGTAAATATGAAATATTTTTTATTTGGAAATTTTAATGGTATTGGTTGAATAATTGTTGATTTTGAAAATTCATGGTCCATTGGAGAAATCCATGCATAATCCATGCCTTTTTTCATGGTCACAAGAATTCATGCATAATTCAAGCTTTTCAAGGTTTTCATGGCTGGTGGCAACCCTGTATTAGCTCGCTTTCTTGTCCGGTTAAAATGTTGCAACCAATTTTATACAAACTTCCCGATGAGCTAGAGACTTGAAACTTGAAACATAGCTCACAAATGGATGACAATGCAATATTATATAATTTTATTTTCATACTTCCCTTGGGCTACGCCCCATAGGCTTGTTTTTATTAGCTCGCTTTCTTACAAATT